TTGCGGATAAGGACCCTCGAACGCAACAATCGCAACTACTCGGCCCTTTCCGTCAGTCTTCGGATAAGGTTACAATGAAAATCAAAGTGCTGAATGCACTGAATGCGACGGACATGTCCATACAAGTTCGAGATTTGTAGAGCAATCTATTTTAGGTATCCCAATCTGAAATTATTCAGATTTTCTACTTTCAAGCAGAACACGTCCACATTTTCAAATACAGAATGAAATTTATGCCTAAAAAATCTGGTCAAATTTGTAAATCAGTGTCCTTCTCGATTTATCTGTAAAAAGAAAAAACTGTCAACGAAACATTTCTAAATTAAAACCATGCAAATAAACTTAAAGCATAATACATGCGAGAATGTTAATTAGAATTGCTTCGTGTTATATCATAGTTGGCATATAGACAATAAAATATAAGTCATTAGTATTTTAATTTTTATTTCTCTTGGATATCTCTCATTAAAAATATTTTTGGTTAAAACCATCTGCAATTAATGGTGTATTTTTCAGATTTTTTTTTTTCATTTACAAGGTAAAGGCCAGAGCACATCGTTTTAATTTTAATTTAAATGTCACTTATAATTATATTAAGCACTACAGTTTTCAGTTGTCCCTTTCAATTTCACACTAAATTCCATCTTCAACTTGTTTGCTTCTAACATATTATTATTAGAATTGTAACAAATATACAATTAGTAACAAAAGGGACTTATATTATATTATAATATAGTAATATTACATGCATTTTTTATGTAAAATTAAAAAAATGGTTTCTTTCAATACTGATAGAAGACTGTTACCTGAATGGCAGGTATGAGGAAATTCACTATGCGAGTCAAAGATATAAAAGCTACTTGACATTGGTGATATATAAAAAGCTATTGTTAATTGATTTATTGGGAATAAAACCATTCATAAAAAAACAATACACCTCATGTTGAAACTGCATATCAAAGTTTCTGATCTATCTATCTATAGTCTATGCTTAATGAGGGTCCTTCCGCCCGTACGAGCACAAAATGCAGCTTTCGCTATCGAGTACGGACCCCGGACATGTCAACAGTCATGCCCTTAAAGAGTTTAATTTTGAAACACAGAGTGTTGCTAATTTACCTCCGTGCAAGGCGTGCATTACCAATGTTACGTGTGTGTGTTTGCGTTTGTTTACCTTCGCCAATGTTACTTTTTTTTAATGCGTTTATTTAAGGTCGCCGCCGGAAAGCCCATATGGGCGATCGTACACTCAAGTCGGGCCATCCTAGAGCGTCCCGTCGAGATTATTTCGTCGATTTTTTTACAGGAAGACCCCAGGTGCCCCTTCGAGCATTATTTCAGACACTAGCGGCACCTGGGTAGAGAACCACCGACCTTCCGTAAGCCAGCTGGATGGCTTCCTTCTGAAAGATTTCGACCCGAGTGAGGATCGAACCTACAGCGGTGAGGGACCTGTGATCTCAAGTCAGCGACCTTAACCACTCAGCCACGGAGGCCTCTGTCCAAGCGCCAAAGTTACGTATGTATGTTGTTAATGCTTAATGACTTTGTGTGTGTGTGTGTGTGCGTGCGTGTGCGTGTGTGTGTGTGTGTTTGTGTGTGTGTTTGGTGTTTGTTTACCCTCGCCACCGGAAAGAGACCAAATGGGCGAGCATATAGTTCATTTATAATCATTTAAAAAAAAAGGGGGGATCTGATATTTATTTACTTATTATTATATCCATACATGTGTTTATGTGCATACCATATCCCCCATGACAGGGTAGTCTCTACGTACAACCTCTGCCATGGGAGGAAGATGGGGCAATCCCATACTAAGTTTGAGAAATCTAAAATTTAATAATTAAAAGCACTTAATTTAAAATCGGCCAAAACGTTTATATAAGTTACCGTCTTTTATAACAGGAGTAATTAATATTTAATATAACTAAAATTTTTTTAGAAATTTACCTATAATTGTAGAGTTCGCATACTTATGTGCAAGAAGGCATGTCAGGAACGTTTTCTGACCATTTCATTGTGGGCTGACTGTTACTTATGTTGGTTTCTATTTAAATGTTATAAACCGTATACATTGGGATGCATACACTTAACAAAAGTTCTAACCGATCACTTTTTAAATTTTGATTATTTTATAACCGGTCAAGAGATCCTTATAAAATTTTGCAGAGGTGATTTTTGTGTCATTTTCTACCGATATGTGGAAAGAAAAATAATTTAATACGGTTCGATGCACTCAAGCTGGAAACAAGACGCGGTTTACACATTTTGGCACGAAATTTTCGTGCAGAGCGTGGTGAGTATTAAATTTTACATTGCATAAATCCTTGTTAACGTTATAAGTGAAAAAACATAAAACATGGCACGAATGTCGATGCAGGATCGTGCTGTAGCTGTTGGTATGTTGAATGCTGGAGCCTCTATCAGACATGTGAGTGGCTGTTCATAAAAGTTTTTTTTTAAATATCGAGATAATGTATTATTTAAATAGAAAAATGATATAATTTTATTATTCTCAATGTGTTCATTCCTATTTCAGGTCGCAAGACATTTCAATCGGGCCTTTTCGACGATCCATAGACTTTGGACGAAGTATCAAGGGACCGGAAACGTTTCTGACTTACGCCGCAGACCAAGAAGAAAGGTTACAACTCGCCGACAGGATCGGTTTATTATCGTGAATCACCTAAGGAATCGTTTCACCCCTGCAACATCAACGGCTTCACGTACAATTGGCATAAACAACCGCCGAATATCACCACAAACTGTACGTTACCGCCTCAGAGCCGTCGGGATACGTGCCCGTCGGCCTTTTAAGGGGCCTATTCTTACCGCAAGACACAGACGGAATCGTTTGACGTGGGCCAGACAACATCTTCGATTTACCAGGGCTGACTGGGCCAATGTGTTATTTGTGGACGAAACACGAATCAAACTACGCAATGCGGACGGGCGAGTACGTGTATACCGTCGCCAGGGTGAAAGGAATTGTGCCAACTGTGTCGTCGAGGTTGACAATTTCGGTGGTGGCTCATTGATGGTGTGGGCAGGCATATCAATGCACACCAAGACAGTGATCGTACCTATACGAGGTAATCTCAACGCCCACAGGTATCAGAATGATGTTGTGCAGCCCATTCTACTGCCTCACATACGGATAAACCGTGGTATGTTGTTGGCGCAAGACAATGCCCCATGTCATGTTGCCAGAACCACTAATAACATGTTGGCAGCCAACAATGTCAGACTCCTTCCATGGCCATCGAAAAGCCCGGATCTCAATCCGTTGGAACACGTATGGGATTTATTGAAAAGACGTGTCCGGGATCTGCCTCAGCCGCCAAGTAATATCGGTGAATTGGAGCGTGAAGTACAACGGGTCTGGAACAATATTCCACAACGAACACTTCAGAATTACATAACATCAATGAGGGGCAGATGCCGAGCCGTAATAGCAGCTAATGGAGGGCATACCTGATACTAAATGAAATGTTGGTACATGTTGTGACTTTTTGTTTTACGGGTATCCTTCTTTATTGTGCTATTGTGCTCTAACCAGTTGTTGGATTTTAATGAAATTTCATGTGAACATTGTAAATGAAATTCTCTTTGAAATAAAATAACAGTCGGATCTATTGGTATTATTCTTTTTCATATACAAACGAAAACTCAGGGTGATCGGTTAGAACTTTTGTTCAGTGTATAATTAATTACATGTTTGTAATTAGCAGAGTTTGTTTTAAATTTTGTAAATTTTGTAAGTTTCTACCGAACACCCGCTTTATAAAGTTAATTTTGATTGGTTTAGAGAGGATTGCCTCCTTTGTTCTCATTGGTCTAAAATTTCTTCTTTCTCAATAAGGAGGTCAATCCGATTTTCTTGAAAGTTCTGCAAGTTTTTCTGTTGACCTATTTCGACAAGTTTGTCGCGCGGACTGGGTGCTTAATGACTACAGAAATGTAACTTTATATACTAAAGTTATAACTATTTCAAAACAACCAATATATCAACATGTTATTATTAAACATTTAGTTTCATAAATATAAATTAAGAATAATTATCAAAAGCAAAATTATTAAAGTCTTATGCCTGAAATCTTCTTTATATTGACAAATTCAATCACTAATAGTATACTTGATATGCTGTGTGTAAATGTAATTCAAAATGTAACAATTATAATTTCATGTACTTCTAAAAAAGGGAAATAACAAATTTATTACTAAGTGTCAAAAATCAGAACATTAATAGCTATTTATAGCTTTCGAATTCATGTACAGTAGAACTGCTTTCCGGTTCTCATTGGCGTCCGCGCCGAAGCGCGGCGCTCTTATGGAATGAGATCAGATTTTGTGAAAGGGCGACAGCAACTTCTCGAGCCTTTTAGTCGGTCATAATAAAAGCCGAAAATTCCGATCGGTATGAGGGTGCTTGATTATTAAATAAGAATGAAATGTCGCGATATGTTACAATGAATTTTCGCAATGCAAACATTTACAAATGAAATAACCTTTTCCGTCAATAAATCGCGCTCTTCGGGGTTTTTTATTTATCATTTTGTAGTACACAGTCGGTTATCATGTCATGGTATGTTATTGTTGTACATGTATCCTAGAATGATCAGTTGATGACCTAAATATTCCAAAAACCTATTTATAGATATATCTTTTTATCACTCCTATCGGTAAATGCCGGTCTCTCCCGGTCTATTTTGACCAGGATTTACTAGTGACCGGCGAATAGTACCACACGTTATATTGTCCGGTCTCTCCCGGTTTTGGAGTAGATGTTTGATATCGTTACAATTAGAAATCAAAGCGCTGAAAGCACTGATGTATTCGCTGCGCATTATAAATACATATGTGTCTTACTAAAAACGTTGCAATTGTAACGAATAAAGGAATATGGGCCACTGAATTACAGATTATTAATCTGATAGAGACATTATTTAACACTGGCTGTTGAATATTACATTGAAAGAGGGAAAGAAATAAGAATAAACTAAATGAGAACAACTTTATTACATTATCTAAGTGGTACAATAAAATATACATCCAAAATATGAATGCATGCAGTACATTCATGACTAGATCCTTAACATGATGAGAGAATTATGTTATAATGAATATATATACAGTAACAATACCTAGAATACTATATTGCTACATAAGCTTCAAATGTAATGACAGACAGATTACCTAGCTAAAGCATTTCAGTTTTGATGAAAAGTGAAACTTGGAACATGTTAATTTCATGAAATTTAAGAAGAAAATATAGGTATTTTTGTAAAATACTTTAATTTTAAAAATTTCTGAGATTAAAAAAAATACAAAAAAAGTACTTTTAATAGTTTGAGTATTATAATTTTAATTAGCCTGTAACAGTCAAAAATAAATTTTAAAAGTCTGTTATTTACTTTTTTGCAAAGAAACATTACAAATGGAATGGGAGCATGAGTAAATGGCTTTAATAATGCAAAACAAGCAAAATGGGACAATAAGAGAAAAGGATGGTTGTAATATCTTATCGTTTTTTTACCTACTGTGACCTTATCATGCAAAAGACCAAATTAATTTTAAGCGTTCTTGCACACAGTAAATGAGAATTTTTGACGTTTTCAAACTGAGTAGTTTAGTATGACATTATTGAAATATGGATGATGGACAGACTAGGAATCTTTGACTGATTGTAATAGCTGAGCTTTTGCTAATGTGAGCTAAAAAAATGAGAATACTGATGTCAAGGATGATTCAATAATATCCATATTTAAGAAAACACAGTTTTAAAACCCAATTACAATATTGATAAACAAGAGGGCCATGATGGCCCTGAAGTCGCTCACCTGTATAAAGGCCCCCGTAGCGGGGCCAGTTTAAACCCGAGGGCTTTTATTTGAACAAACTTGGTAGACACCCATTAGAAAATGTTTCATGCTAAACATCTAAGGTCTAGCTGGTCAAGTTTTTTTTTTACACATATAGTTAAAAACAATGACACACCTGGGGCAGGGCCAGTTTGGACCCAAGGGCTTTTATTTGAACAATCTTTGTAGACACTTACTAGAAAATGTTTCATGCTTAATATCTGAACTCTAGCTATTCAGATTTTTTGAAGAAGATTTTTAAGTTTTTGTTATACACATATAAGGAAAATCAATGACCCCCGGGGTGGGACCAATTTTGACCCCAGGGCTTTTATTTGAACAAACTTTGTAGACACTTACTAGAAGATGTTCCATGCTTAATATCTAAACTCTAGCTATTTGGGTTTTTTCAAAGAAGATTTTTTAAGTTTTTGCTTTACACATATAAGGAAAATCAATGACCAACGGGGCGGGACCAATTTTGACCCCAGGGCTCTTATTTGAACAAACTTGGTAGACATCCATTAGAACATGTTTTAGGCCAAATATCATAGCTAGCTCTGGCTCTTTTGGTTCTTTAAAAGAAGATTTTTTAAGTTTTTACTATATGCATATAGGGAAAATCAATGACCCCTTGGGGTGGGGCCAATTTTGACCCCAGGGCTTTAATTTGAACAAACTTGGTAGACACCCATTAGAAGATGTTTCATGCTAAATTTCTTAGCTCTAGCTCTTTGGGTTCTTTAAAAGAAGAATCTTTAAGTTTTTACTATATGCATATAGGGAAAATCAATGAACCCCTGGGGCGGGGCCAATTTTGACCCCAGGGCTTTTATTTGAACAAACTTGGTAGACACTCACTAGAAGATGTTTCATGCCAAATATCTAAGCTCTAGCTCTTTGTGTTTTTTAGAAGAAGATATTTTAAGATTTTTTCTTTTGGTTGCCATGGCAACCAGAGTTCTGCATGGAATTAAATTCTTTGAACAATTTTCAAAGGTGACCACCAAAGGAACATTCCTGTGAAGTTTGGATGAAATTGGCGAAGTGGTTTATGAGATGTCATTTAAAGTAAAAGTTTTTGGACAGACGGACGGACGACAAGCGATCACAAAAGCTCACCCTGTCACTTTCTGACAGGTGAGCTAAAAAGTAAACAATGCATATTATCTATGCCCCTCGTTAAAACATGATAGAAATATCCCAAGAACCTTTTTACTCACAATAATAATACATGTAATTATAACAGCATTAATAAGTACATCGCCTTATCTAATAGTCTGAATCTTACCCAATTAAATGTTGCATGACAAACATTCTATTATAAAGCTTTCAATATTTCAGTTACTTCATACATAATCAGTGTTCTTTTCTAATTAAAGCATATATACAGAACTTGCTAACATGAAAAACAAATTTCGTCACGATAAGTTTATCTCATGTATAAAATTGCAACTTGCTTGCAATTTAAGTAATTTATTTTAAGATTCTTATGCTAGAAAGTATGGTGATTGCTCAATTTTAATTCATTTGTTAAAAACATTTTCATAAATTGGAAACACACTCTATAAATGGCTTGGTACTTCATATCAATTGTGAAATTTCTTTTATTAAGAATATAACTTACTGATAAATGTTCACAAAATTGCAAATACAATGTAAATCTAAAAACAATGCTACATAATTAAGGTATTATCAAATTATATAATGATTAAGACAATGGATTGAAATGATAGAAAAACAAGCAAATGTAAAATTAACATAAATAAATATATACATGTAACACTATTGACCATAAGAAACAGTTAAGTCAAACAAATGTAATAGTTATTATGCATTTAAATTTGGGGTGTAGTGTCATGTTTCTTTGGAAATTGAAGTCAAAATAGTTCTCAGAAATCAAATATTTCTCTGACAAAGATAGAAATGTTATGAGCATGTAAAGCTCCCACAAACTTTCTGATATAACTCTAGTGCAATCACTGTTTGTTTTTTACTTTGACTAGAATCAAAAATGATACCTTTGTTTACAGTTTGTGTCCACAATGATAATAGCATATAAATAAATATTATCTTGTCACTTGTGCCTGGTTATATAAAAAAAGACAATTTCTAATAAAGGAATGTACAAGTTTGTTTTGTGTATGTTAAGAACAACTTAAGCATGTAAATAAAAAGTACTGGGAACATGGTATTTTAAAGGTATTATAAGTAGATTTCAACAATAATAAATGAATGATTTCAAAATTTAAAAAAAAAAAAAAAAAAAATGGGTCAAAGACAGAAAAGGTCGGGTTGCATTTCTATACCAAATATCATGATGCTGTAATGTTTTGAAAAATATTTACCACTGACCATTAATGTGGAAAATTTAAATAAGTCAGTTAACAGGAAGTGGATGAGTGAAAGACTTGAAATCGAATCCCACAGTATAAGACCATGTGTCAATGCTGTTTGTCAAATATCAAGAGCCTGTGATAAGTAGTTGCTAAAAAATCTGTCACAAAAATTTCCTACCATTGACCATTAATGTTGAAAATTTAACGGTAAACGGGGCTTGGTGAGGGACAGACCTGAAATCAAATCCGACAGTATGGGACCACGTCAATACTGTATACCAAATATCAAGAGGCTGAGATAAGTTGGTATGGAAGACAAAACTATGAAACTATGAACATTTGTTTACATAAATTCCATAAATAAGTTCAAGGTGGGGGGGGGGTGGGAGGGAGGGGGTAATTCTGGAAATAGTCATGCTTGTCACACAACATATGTGTAATGATAAGAAATATAAACAAGAGGGCCATGATGGCCCAAAGTCGCTCACCTGTATATAGACCCCCGGAGCGGGGCCAGTTTAAACCCCAGGGCTTTTATTTGAACAAACTTGGTTGACACCCATTAGATGATGTTTCATGCTAAACATCTAAGGTCTAGCTTGTTGGGTTTTTTTTAAAAGAAGATTTTTTCAAGTTTTTTTCTTTACACATATAGTTAAAAACAATGACACACCTGGGGCAGGACCAGTTTTGATCCCAGGGCTTTTATTTGAACAATCTTTGTAGACACTTACTAGACAATGTTTCATGCTTAATATCAGAACTCTAGCTATTCAGGTTTTTTCGAAGAAGATTTTTAAGTTTTTGCTTTACACATATAAGGAAAATGAATGACCCCGGGGCGGGGCAATTTTGACCCCAGGGCTTTTATTTGAACAAACTTGGAATACACTCACTAGAAGATGTTTCATGCTTTGTATCTAAACTCTAGCTATTTGATTTTTTCATCAAAAAAGATCTTTTAAGTTTTTGTTATATGCATATAAGGAAAATGAATGACCCCCGGGGCGGGGCCAATTTTGACCCCTGGGCTCTCATTTGAACGAACTTAGTAGACACCCATTAGAACATATTTCATGCTAAATATCTTAGCTCTAGCTCTTTACATTCTTTAAAAGAATTTTTTTTAAGTTTTTACTATATGCATATAGGGAAAATCAATGACCCCCTGGGACGGGGCCAATTTTGACCACAGGGCTTTTATTTGAACAAACTTGGTAGACAACCATTAGAAGATGTTTTCATTCTTTGGGTTCTTTAAAAGGAGATTTTTTAAGTTTTCACTATATACATATAGGGAAAATCAATGACCCCCCCCCCCAGGGCGGGGCCGATTTTAATTCTAGGAACAAAATTAGAACAGTTTGGTTTTGGACCTATAGGTGATACCATAGACCAAATATCAAAGCTCTAGGCCATTTTACTTTCAGACCAGAATATTTTTCAAGTTTTTACTATATGTATGTAATGAGAATCAATGACCCCCCGTCCATTATTTGAACAATCTTGATAGAGGTCTAAAACACAATGTTTCATGCCAAATATCTAATCTGTAGCCTTTGCCAAATCAGAGAAGAAGATTTTTCTAGATTTTACTATATACATATAAGGAAAAACCTATGACCCCCCAGGGCGGGGCCAATTTTGACACTTTAAGGGACAAAATTTGAACAACTTTGGTAGAGGACCCATAGATGATACCATATACCAAAAATCAAAGCTCTGGCCCATGTACTTTCAGACAAGAAGATTTTTTTAATTTTGTGTTTTTTGAAATCCTTTTCTGGCCCTATGACCTACATATGCAACAGACCGGAACCATTTGAACAACTTTGAAAGGGGCCCACCCAAGGATCATTTCTGTAAAGTTTGGTCGATGTGCAGTCATTGGTTTCAGAGGAGAGGTTGTTTATGTTAAAAGTTGACGACGCTTGACGACGGACACAGGGCCATCACAATAGCTCACCCTGAGCATTGCTCAGGTGAGCTAAAAATTAAATTAAATTACTTATAATATTTCTTTAAAAAAAAGTTCAAAGGGATATTAACCTGAAAATATTGCTTTAAGAGTAAATTATGAACCTAGTCACATAAGATGTAATTGATGATAAGATATATGCATTTGAAGTAAGAGGTAGATGCCTTTGAAACTAAAAAAGTCATAGTAAAAAATAATATTTTTCAAGTAACAAAAATTTAAGTTCATGGGGAGGTAATTCTTGCAATATTGGTGCTAGCGTTAACAACCTTGTCACATAACATTTGGTTAATGATAAGGAACATATATTTGAAATATGAAGTTGATCCCTTAAGAAATAAATAAGTAACAGTAAATAATAGCTGTCGGTAGGACAGCAACGCTCTACCATTCTAAGTGCTTGATAGAAAAAGAGCCTTGGTAATGTTAAATATTAACAAAAGGGCCAAATTTTCCTTTAAATCCATGTTACTGTTATAGGCCTTGAAGAGAGTCCTATTATGCTCTCAAAGAAGAGTATAAAATTTCAACTTGTTCCTAGCCAGATGTCAATAGTATATGAAAATATCTGAGGTGGTATGCAAACTTTAATTAAATAACATAAAATCTAAGTCAGAAAAGGGGCATAATTCTGTCAAAATGCTTGATCCAGTTATCTCATCATGTTTACAGGTTGGGTCATGATGGTGAACAAGTGTGCAAAGTTTCAAAGCCATATATCAATAGACTTTGATATTTGAGATATTACAAAAACTTTAACATAAGTTATTACACCTATGCTGACGCAGACGCCGACAACAAAACTGACGCACTGGCGACTACAACAGCTCTACTTTTTCTTATCGAATAGTCGAGCTAAAAATAACTTTTTTAGGAAAATTCTATCTTCAAGAGGAGATAAATTTGAAAATATTGGTAATAGAGTAATGAACCGTGTCACATAAGATGTGGTTGATGATAAGGAACATATATTTGAAGTATGAAGTTGATCCCTTAAGAAATAAGGAAGTAACGATAGAAAATAATATTTTTTAAGTAAAATTCTAAGTTCAAGGGGAGATAAATCTGAAAATAGTGGTGCTAGAATTATGAACCTTGTCACATAAGATGTGGAAAACCAAAACTTTAATCTGACTAAGGACGCGGATGCCGGGGCAAGTAGGACGGCTCTCCATATACTTTGTATAGTCCAGCTAAAAATGAAAAGTAAGAAAGTGTTTTATGCAGTAAACATTAATATAAATATAAAAGTGATATGGCACTTTTTGTACTAAGAAGCGAGGAATGATATTTTATCTTTTCTTGCATCCTAAATCTATAGTAAATGATATTTTACTGTACCTTTCTTGCCTATTAAATGTATGGTATTGTACCTAACAATATTGCTTTAGCAATGATGTTCCAGGGTTTTCACATGTTTGTTTACACAAAATATCCATACATATATCTAATTTCTATTATAATACATATATATGCATTAAACTTTATGCTTTAAACAAAAAATAGAACTTCTTACAACATTACCATTAGACAGGATAAATTTTGACCCCAGTGACACTACTGAAGTTTTCCAGATTGTATGTAAATGATAAGCAGACTGGAAATCTATACACCTGACAATCTATTTTCCTTTCTTCGAATTTTTCCATGAATATGTGACCATAAGGCTTGGAATTTTTTTAACAACATAGCAATATTCTGAGGTATCCAATGCATTTCTCTGCTTAACTTCAGCTAGAAACTTTTTAAAAGGAAGTTTTTCACATATTTCCAATACAATTTAGGTGAAACATGTAGGTCCACTGGCATTCAGGGCTTCCATTAAGATCCAAAATTCGGAAGTCAAAGACTGCAAAATGTCTTGACATTGGAAGTAACAAAATATTGGTAAAGAAGAAAAAAGCATTACATTTTGGAAGTCACAAGCCAAATTCAAGGAGTGAAATGACTCACAAACTTCCATTAATGAAAGCCCTGCCATTACTATGAAAATGGTAGCCTGATGTGCATTTACAAAAAGTGTTTATACCTTTATCATTCAAACAAAAAGTTTCTCCAAAAATTGTGTATTTCTCATCTAAACAAACAACTCGGCACATTTCAACATCTTACAGTTCACATATATTCGTCTTACATGTCCACAGATATTTATATACAATGGATAGGAAGCTCAGAAAATAGTTGATAGTCAGATTCAGATCCACAGTGCGCTTCGGTGATAATCGTGTTTTCCCACTAGCCCCCGATTCTCGCACTCTCGTTAAACTTCGGCAATATCCATGAACTACTGTTTACATTGCCGACATTTTTTTTTTTGAGAAATATCTGTGTGGAAAAGTGTGTATGGTACGTTTTAACATAAATAACTATTGCTTCTTATGTAAGTAGAAAATGCTTCTTCTTTTTTTGTCAATGTTCCTCTTCGAATTGAATATGGCGGTATTTTGGCTACTATTACCCTGGATGCATCAAATCTTGGAAAATCCCGAAACACATGATAACTTGCACTAGAACAACCCCAATAATACTGAATTTAACTGTATGACGTCTAAGTTACTTCTACATCTATATTAAGCTCCATGACATGTCCAATCAATCAGTAAATCAGTAAGTTGATTGATCATTAGAACATTCAATCAACAATCATAAATCAGAGAATGAATCATCAAGTCAATGAAATCGAGGAAATCAACACTCTGAAATTAAACAAATTACATCAACATAAAAATAGAGTTAAATCAATTTCCTTTGTCTGAAATGCATAATTATCATTTAAATAAAAACATACAAAATTTATGGTCAATTACAATAAACCCATTCACACTTTCTATATGATCTAAGTAAATAACTGAGGTATATCAAGTGAAAAAATACGAGTTGCTTCCCTTATCTTCGAGTAAAATTGATATCTCTTATGCTTAAACAAAACCGCCAGTTTGTTCTGATTAAATGTCCGCTTTTAAAATGTATTACACCAATAGCAAACGTTGGATCTTAGCTTCATCACAGTATATTCTTCAACACATCTTTTGACTCCACAAATATTCAAATGAACAGTTAACCCTACCACATGTCAGACCATTTTACATACAATTTATACAGTGAGAAAACAACCGGTTATCTTTATTCCTAAAACTACTGATAAGAAAAGCCTCTTGTCTGCTAGTTCTGAAAGTGTTTATCGGTGTATTAAATATTTACAATACATTGAACAGCTTACTTAACCTGTAGGCACTGTATATTAACTTATAATATAGCTATATGCTTTCTATTGGCCGCCACAATCATAAGTTCATTTAATGAAGTTATTATAAAATACATCATAATCATAAATAAATTCTAAACTCACCAGTTCGTGGAATTGAATGTACCAATAAAAGCATTATCTTCTTCAAACACGCATACTGTCAAACTCTATCTCTCTCTGCTGTAACTTCTGCAAAATATAATAAACACAATGTGCAAAGTGATATGAATAAATTGTGAGATTAAGTAAACAGAGAGCTAGATTAACGGATTTTTCTGAAAACAATTCTCAAAGGTTCCAAATCACGAAAACTGATGACATTTCAAATCAGACCACACTCGTTACTTAATTAAAAAAATATCTATGACATACACTCTATAAAACACTAATTTAAACCAAATGCAACTCAAAATAATACTGACCAACTATCAATAATCCATATTTCCAATAAATTAAGAACACTTCGAACTTTTTACAAACAAAGCCGCTTAAACATAGACAAAACTAGTGATATTGCGGGGAAAACAAGGGAAACAACTCAAACAACAAAAAAAATATATCAAGACACCTGAATTATCAACACTGTTACACATCATGAAATCCAAATAAGAATTCCAAAACAGATTACAATAAGTTCAAATAATATTGGTAAGTTTTCTGTACCTACTTTTAGAAAATGATGAGATCAGCTTTCACATACAAATATAGCGTCGAAAACTTTGTTTTGGTACGAACTACTTCCTTACGCAAAGTTAACGCGAATGAATACTAATGATGTTTTTTTACTGATTATATCCTGAAAACATGCAAATAATATACGATAGAAATAACACAATCAAAAATGAACTACTGACAATTAAAAATCTTATCACTTGTGTGTGACAAGAAAATATGTGTAGAACTACTTTGCGTTGTTCGGTACCCATTCTTCTATTGTAATCCCGCAAATTGTGATAGAACTGTATTCACTGCTATAGTCCGAGCACGATAAACAGAACTTTCGTCAGTTCTAAAAATACAAGCACAGTCCATTAAAAGATTAACACAGGTAAACATAGGTAAATTGCAAGTGATTAACAAAATAATTCGTTAAAAGTTGTACAAATTTTATTTTATGAGATAATATCTTCGTTTGACTCTATAGCACAGTAAGTAAGACCGCTTTTTAATATAAAAGTAAATTCAGCTAGTGGGTTCGAAACCTGGTGGAAACTATCATTTTTATTAAAGTTTTTATTCTCTTTTTTTCTTAATTGCTAGTACTTTTTAAATTGCTGACAAAATAAAATTTGATTACGCATATGAACTTAAAGCTACTGTAGTTTTGTCTCTCTTAAAATTTGTTAAAATATTCATACATTTATAATAAGAAAATTAAAAAAAAATATAATAAGAAATCCGAGGGACGGATATTCTGATCCGGACCGCAAACATATATATATCAGATATCTTTCTTGCATATTCTACCATATTCTATTATTTTTTAAACTCTTAACCTTAAAAAAAAATTCTATATTACAGCACGCGACTCATCTGGCACCCCACACCAGATGATATTTCTGGCATGGGTAAAACTAACGGAAACGCCAGTCTGATATGCAAGAAACTGAAATAAATGAGATGAAGATAATCCGATTAAAAAGTGACATAAATAAATCAATCAAAATAAAAACGCATTATGTAGTTTTGTACATAAAGTGGGAAATAAAAAAGATAAAAAACGATTTTGTTTTGTTTTAAACATACCCTTCTGTCATTCAGTAGGTTCCTTCTGAACTACTTCTGAACTAAGAGCTCTACCGATTGAGCTATGGCGACATTTGTTACTTACTTTTACAATTATTAGTCAAAGGCTCAATCAATAGGATGTGCAACAATTAATTTACCTATATGGTATTAACGTGGACTGTTCCGTACTATAAATAAATATGAAGAAACTTCTGTTTATCCTGCTCGGATTATAACGCAGCGAATACAAAAAACAACAATAGCATGTTTCATTTTATCTATATGAGATAAAAACAATAAATATGTACACGGATTTATATGTAATATAAATTCGTGATATGTACAATAATTGAGAAAAAGGTACATTTTTTATGGTATTAAAATGACATTATCAACTTTGAAACATTTTATTTAATTATTCAATTTGTTATCCGTGTTTAGTAAAGATGCCGAGGAATTATTCAAAGTTACAAATTAGATTTTATGAATTATTCAATTGATCGATAATTTAAAAAATGATAAAGAAAAATACAATGTACATGTACATGGTTTAAGAATAAACAATATTATATTATATATTGAAAGATAAACCATAATTTACTGACTTTTTCCAGTTAAGCTTTGACTTATTAATTAATATGACACGCTGTGAATCGCCGAAGGGGGAACCAATTTGATAATCGAAAGGAGTTATTAAATCCGAATTTATTAATAGCTGTAAATCGAAGGGATTAATTGATAAAATCCGGGCCCATGGACAAAAAAAATAGTAAACACAAATAGCCTCACGCCTGTGGGCGCGGAACAAATAACATCGAAGTGAACAAATCGGTACATAGAAAAATCGGGAAACATAATTTACGATACTTAGCGCTACGTGGATGTTTCATTCCGTTCTAATCTTTTAAATTGTATAAATCGATTACCGTATTGTTTTTCTGAATAGCGTTTTACTATTTCGTGTTCCGATAAATAGTAACTGTGAACATTACAGGTACAATACAAGAAAAGCATTGATGCAAAGCATCAAAGGGCGTCCAAGCAAGAAATGCAGAAAGTGAAGATGAACTAGTAGACATATGATGACAAGATATTCTTATAAACTTTTCAATGGTTAATTGGTTTTTACCAGAATGAACGGACGAAAGACATTGTTCATTATGAACTTTGATTGGCATGCTAGAGATTAAAATATTACTTGTTATTTCTTTATGATCGTGATTATTAGTAGCAACAGATATACATGTATACAATCATTTATAATCCATATGTGTAACGCATGATCAACACCATGCACACTTCTGGAATTGTCCCTTATTATGTTATCGCTATAAGCAAAGACCCCTTCTTAAGTTATCTGTTCACACTTAGTAAAAATATGACACTGGTTATATTACCATGTTGATCATGTTGAGCATAATTGTTTATTATACAATATTGTAATATCTATTTTAATATAAAAAATACAGATTTTATGAATATTGTTTTCCTCTCTTTTTTGTGTTTTATGTGCTATTTTAATACTGAGTTTTTTTACGTTTACTACTCTTTTTTTATTATTAAAATTGTAAAATTAATTTTAAGACTTCAATTGTCATATTGACTGACGATTAAAAGTCAAAACTAAACTGGAAAAAGTCAGTAAATTATGGTTAATCTTTCAA